CGTTTATTGCTGGTGGTCATTCACCCTACAAAGGATTTAGGGGATTAAAATTGGTTGAGTATGATTGATTATACCAGCTTTCAAAAAAATAGACTATAGTTTATACAATGTTAAGTCATCCGCGTATATCAATACACCATTGTGAAAAATGAGGTCTAAAACATCATTTATGTACCAACTGAATAATAATAAGGGTGACAGATGTCTTCCTTGTGGTACTCCAGATAAAATATAATTTGGGAAGGGAACGATTTTATTTACTTTTACCAATTTCCAATTGGACCCAAGATCGAGCCTGAGATGTTGTTTCTTTACTAAATTTGTTACTGTGAACCTTTCCTTCACAAATTCATGTTGGGCAACCAGAAGAATATTCCTGAAGTGAGGAGCCATCCTAGATGATACCAAACAATCAAACATTTTTGGCAAAAAAGATTCTTTACTGATGGGCCTATAATCTCAGCTCAATCCTCTGACTTAAATATAGGGGTTACATAGCACATTTTCCATTTGGTACGAAAAATGCCACTGACATCTATAAATTGAATAGAGAATAGATTTTCTCATAGAGGATACATTTTGTATTTTTTTAAAAAAGTGATCTGTTAAGTCACCAGGTCCATCATAGATTATTATTCAACATACTATTTATCAAAAACTTCCATGACTGTACAGGGTGGTCCAAATTGGACACTTTCTTATAGAAACACCCTTTATTTTTAGAACTAGAAAAAAATGAACCCCCCACTCTGAGGCTCAAATTTGATGAAATTTTGATTGGTGCAAACCGCATTTTGATATCTTCAACCGTTTAGCCGCTAGAGGGCGTTTCTCGATTTTGAGCAATACTGTGAAACCTTCATAACTTTTTTGTTTATGAAAATAATGGATTTCCGTAAAGACTTCCTAGAGGCACTTTTTTAAGAAGAATTCAGTGACGTTCTCAGTTTTTTTCTAATTGACTCGGATTTCGAGATATTGACCAAAATTCGATTTTTTTCAATAGAACACCCTATATATTAATAGCTTATTGGAAAGCTCTGCTTTTGCTGATTTCAATGATATATATATATATGAAGTTCGATAGGTTTATCTCTAACAGTTTCCAAGAAAAAAAATTATTTCTGTTTTTGTCATAAGAAACAATGTGTTAGAAAGAGACGTTTCTCGTTTTCCTTACAGATATAAAGTCCTTTTCCAACACATTGTGTCTTATGACAAAAATCGAAATAATTTTTTTCTCGGAAACCGTTGGACAGAAACCTATCGAATTTTATATCATTGAAATCAGCAAAAGCAGAGCTTTTCAATGAGCTATTAATATATAGGATATCCTATTGAAAAAAATCGGTTTTTGGTCAATATCTCGGAATCGGAGCCAAATAGAAAAAAGCTGAGAACGTCACTGAATTCCACTTGAAAAAGTGCTTCCAGAAAGTCTTTACAGAAATGAATTATTTTCATAAATAAAAAAGTTATGAAGGTTTCACAGTATTGCTCAAAATCGAGAATCGCCCCCTAGCGGCTAAACGGTTGAAGATATCAAAATGCGGTTTGCACCAATCAAAATTTCAAGAAATTTGAGCCTCAGAGTGGGGGGTTCATTTTTTTCTATCTCTAAAAATAAGGACACTTTCTTATGGAAACATCCTTTATTTTTAAAGATAGATAAAAATGAACCCCCCACTCTGAGGCTCAAATTTTATGAAATTTTGATTGGTGCAAACTGCATTTTGATATCTTAAACCGTTTAGCCGCTAGAGGGCGATTCTCGATTTTGAGCAATATTATGAAACCATCATAACTTTTTTGTTTATGAAAATTATTGATGCGGTGCAAACCGCATTTTGATATCTTATAGCGTTTTCTGTTCGTAAAACTCGTGCTGCACTCATGCAAAAATTATGTTCTGTTGGCAGTTCTCGAGCGGGTTTTTATGTTCTATTGGAAAACCAGGGCAATCAAATATTGCCCTCGTGCAAGTTTTCCAGCACGAGGTCAGAGAGCTCGTGCCAATGTCAGAGCACAACAAAAATGGCGTAAAGTGCCGAAAATTCTGTGTATAAACAAAACTAAAAAATTATGAATATCGATATTGATGAAATTCTATATTTTTTATCTTCGTTGAGCGACAGCGATGAAGAGGAAAAATTATTATATACATTATATACATAAATTCAAAATTTTATTGAAATTGACATAAAAATTAATTTCAACGAAGTTATCATTGGAATTATTGCTGCACATCTCGGGAGACAGCATAATTATGTACTTTACACACAGGAAAAACTTCCGTTTTCAACTTTTTCATACACACAAACGTTTTTAATTTTTATTCTATTGAAAATATCTGTTATTTATTTTTAGGTTAGGTTAGGGATAGGGATCCTTAAATAATAAATTTGAAAAGAATGACAAAACCCGCCAAATTCATGTTCTTTTGGGATCGCACTAAACGTGAACTAATTCAGTGTTGAGTGCAGAACTCGGGCAGCACGAGTTTTACCAACAGAAAACGCTATTAAACCGTTTAGCCGCTAGAGGGCGATTCTCGATTTTGAGCAATAATAGGTTTGTTCCAACCCCCCGTTTTCGTATTGTCATGAAACGGTTTCGGAACTGTTAGGATCGATTGCAGGCGCATGCGTTGATCTTGCACGGTTTTATCTTGGAACAGAAACAACGAGTAGTTGGAACGGTTTCATGATCGTTTTTGCAATGACGACAGTTCAAATAACTTTAACCCTAAATTTGTTTGTTTGCAAATTAAAATAGAAGAATATAGGATTAGGATTACAAAATAATATATAAAAAAGGAAAATCGAACACCAACGCTGATTCATTATCAAGAATCTGAAACTGAATCCTTGCAAGCTGATAACATCAAGGATTAGCAAATAGCTGATAAATTTTGTACTTTTTTTCACTTGAAAAAATAAAAATGCCACAATTTTATAAGTTAGATTGGAAATTGGTTGTTTAACAACAACATGAACAACAACAACAGGTGACAAAAATTGAATTACGCATGTCAGTCATGAATCAGTCCACGCGGTTCTTGCTTTCCACTCGGCATCGAAATGACGGTGCTAAAACCAGTTCTCGAACGATCCCAGGTTTGGTTGGAACGCCAACAAAACTGTACGGTAAACGATCATCTCTTGGTTGGAACGCCTTTAACCTATGGCGCATGACCGTGACCGTACATTGAACGGTTTTTGGCTGGGTTGGAACGAACCTAATGTGAAACCATCATAACTTTTTTGTTTATGAAAATTATTGATTTCCATAAAAACTTTCTTGAAGCACTTTTTCAAGCAGAATTCAGCGAGGCTCTCAGTTTTTTTCTAGTTGGTCTTAACGCTGAGATATTGACCAAAGTCTGTTTTTTTTCAATAGGACAACCTATACAGGGTGTCCCAAAAAGATACCGACAAACTTTAAGGGGTAGTAAGGGACATCAAAACAAGTATTTTTGTTTATATAAAGATGTGTCCGCAAATGAGCCATTTGGGCTGTAGAGCAAAAAAACTGGTACTTTTATTCTTTGCAATAATTAAATCACTGTTTACTTATCAATTTTGCTTTATTAACTAATAAATTATGGTTTACAATAATTGTTCAAAATGTTGATAATTTACTTCAATGCAAAGATTGCACCGTCGGGTCAATAATAGACAACAAACATAATTATGGCAACTAGTCACAAATAATACATTTTACGATGATCCCAAGGTAGGAATTTTGGAAATGTTTTTGATAAAGAAATCTTTTCGCATTTTAAAAATCAACAAAAGTGCGACCACAAATGTTTAGCAAATCATGCTGGTGGCCAACTTAATAAAAAACCGAGGAAAAAAGTCTTAAATAATTAAACTAATACCCACTTGAAAAATCAATTGGGTATTAGTTTAATTATTAATTTGAATATTATTAACTGTGATAAAATTAAAATGTGTGTATAGTTTAAGAATCGCTTTGTCAATGGTTTTTATAAAATTTAGACAATAAAGCATTATTGAATTGAAATTGAATTGAATTAAATTATTTGGGTATGATTTTAATAGTTTTTTTGCTCTACAGCCCAAACGGCTCATTTGCGGATACATGCTTATATAAACAAATATGCTTGTTTTGATGTCCCTTACTACCCCTTAAAGTTTGTCAGTATCTTTTTGGGACACCCTGTATATTAATAGCTCATTGGAAAGCTCTGCTTTTTCTGATTTCGATGATATAAAGTTCGATAGGTTTATCTCTAATAGTTTTCGAGAAAAAAAATTATTTTGGTTTTTTTCGAGGTTTTTTTCATAAGAAGCAATGTGTAAGAAAAGGACTTTATATCTGTAAGGAAACAGAAAGGTCTTTTTTCATCACATTGTTTCTTATGACAAAAACCGAAATATTTTTTTCTCAAAAACTGTTAGAGATAAACCTATCAAACTTTATATCATTGAAATCGGAAAAAGCAGAGCTTTCTAATGAGCTATTAATATATAGGGTGTCCTATTGAAAAAAACCAGACTTTGGTCAATATCTCGACGTTGGGACCAACTAGAAAAAAACTGAGAACGTCACCAAATTCTGCTTGAAAAAGTGCTTCAAGAAAGTTTTTACGGAAATCAATAATTTCCATAAACAAAAAAGTTATGATGGTTTCACATTATTGCTCAAAATCGAGAACCGCCCTCTAGCGGCTAAACGGTTGAAGATATCAAAATGCGGTTTGCACCAATCAAAATTTCATTAAATTTAAGCCTCAGAGTGGGGGTTCATTTTTTTCTACCTCTAAAAATAAAGGGTGTTTCCATAAGAAAGTGTCCAAATTGGCCCACCCTGTACAGTCACAAGAGGACAACTAACTGTGTAGTTTTGAGTTTTGGAATAAACAAGGGAATAACTGAAATAATTATATACCTTGGTATTTCAAAATGCAAAAGGCAGGGATATTCCTTGCAAGCATTTCAAGAAAAAAAAAATTTATATATGAATTAACTTACCAATTCATATTTCTCAATTTCCACATACATCAAAATCACCTGGCCGGCAAGTTCACGGGTTTTAGTTCTAGGAGCAGCTACGCATTTGGTAACAAGCCCAGACATCACTTCAGACACAGTCTTTCCTGCATGTGCATAATTTTCAACGTAAGCCAGGGTGGCTTCCAGCCCTTTCTCCTGACTGACAGCATTACTATCAGTGACGAATTTCTTCACCAGACCTAAATATTTTCCGAATTCCGGAGATTTCTCATCGTCGATTTGTCTAAAAAGTTTTGTTAGATCTTCGTAGGCACTGAGCCTGGCTTTCCATAGCTTGTGTACACTTCGTTCTTCGGCCGGCAGTTTTTTGTATTCTTCGTCTTCCATTTTCAAGTTTCAATGCACATCTGCAGTTTATAATTGAAGGAATGTATAAATACAATGAAAAATTATTCACGTCCAAAAATGGAATAAGTAAGGCGAGGCTACTTACCAATTAGGCCAAATTTTGATTTCACGTTTAAACAGTACAAGAACACCGCGGAATTCACTGGAACACGCACACTAAATTTGTCTTTTTATGGATTTTTTGTTTAAACGGAATGCGATCACCAACAGAGGAAAAAAGGACACAAAAAATTAAAAATGTCGTCTGATCTGACAAATTTTTTTGAAATTTGACGTTTATCCCCACCACTTTTAACCGACTTTTCGCTAGAAAAACTAAAGCCTACGCTCCTAACAAAAGCTTTGTTCGGGTTAGAAAAAAGGACGGTTCTAGAACAGTTCAAGCAATCTGAGGTGGATTCGGTTTGCTCACTCCGTGCACTCCGAGTGACTCCATTCGCACTCCAGCCGTTCGGGTTAAGGGTCGGGTATTGCTTTTTACCGTATTAGGGGTTACTCCATTAGCTCTATTCACTCCACTCCAACTCCGCGCTGAATAGCTGAACCTAGCTCTGACTTCTGAGGTTCAAGCCAATCCCACAGTTTATCAATCAACAAAAAAAGGTCTGTTCTTACAGAAATCACGAACCAATCAGAGCGTTTTTGATTGGTGCAAATCGCCAACAACCATTTTTCTGACTATTTTCAATCTTAGATTTTTCAACCAAGGAAATTCGCTCTGACTGGTTTGTCATTTCGGTGAGAACAGACATAAAATGTCTGTTCGCACAGAACAAGCCCAACAATCACAAGCAAAAAGTTCCCACTTTTTTAACATTGGTTCAAACAGTTTCAAAATTGTTTTGAAAAAAGTAAACGCGAGAAAACGGCTCAGTTCTGTTCCTGCAGAAATCACATACCAGTCAGAGTGAATTTCATTGGTTGAAACGACTGGTTTGTGATTTCTGCAAAAACAAACCTATTCTTCGCGTTCCAACCACTTTCGTTACAGTTCCACAACGGTTTCGCCTGCGAAACTGAACTGTTTTTGAGTATGTGGAAGCACCATACCCACCAAGCGGCAACATGTGTATGGCCGACCAAATGTTAATTTTTCAATATTCGCCTTACTCAATCGTTTGGTGGTCGTTTGGTGGTCTTTGGTATCCCACTTTTAGTATTTGGTGGTAATTACTTAGGCAGTAATTAACAATTCAAAATTTCATATGACGTTGGCCGACATAACCTGATTCTAATTTATTTTTTGGCCCATTTATAGTCAAATCGAACGGAAATCGTTTGGTGGTCACGAATTTACCGAATTTAACGTTTGGTAGTCAAGAATACCGGAGATATTAATCAATTAAGATTGTTTTCTGATATATTCTAATTATTCGTCGCGCATGCGCATATATTATCTGTTTTTCATTGAGCCGCCTCGATCGCGGCGTTGCCTACCTATTCTATAATTTTCAATCAAATCAATTATTTCATTACAATCAACGAATAATTAGGTAGGTATCTATACTTACTCGAATACTGAAAATAGGTATACATCGTGATTTACTTAGCCCGTGCATTAATAAGAAGTTTTTTAGGTTGCAAGTGGATTACTAGAGATAGCATTTGATCCAACTGCAATCTTATTCACGGGCTACGTGAGGCATTCTCCTGTATAGGAACAAAATGCAAATTGAATTTTTATCAATTTTGACCAACTTTAGGTTTATGACAAAATAAAACTCCAGTTAATTTCATTTTTGCTATTGTGGCGACCACTGACCACGACAACGACAATCCAGTAATCTAGTATCCAGTACAAGCAGAGTCCGCGACTCGCGAGTTGACACGCCACCGGTCCACCGCCAGTTCCGGATCGCAACGGCAACGCCGCGATCGAGGCGGCTCAATGAAAAACAGATAATATATGCGCATGCGCGACGATTAATTAAAATATATCAGAAAACAATCTTAATTGATTAATTACTCCGGTATTATTGACTAACAAACGCTAAATTCGGTAAATTCGTGACCACCAAACGATTTCCGTTCGATTTGACTATAAATGGGCCAAAAAATAAATTAGAATCAGGTTATGTCGGCCAACGTCATATGAAATTTTTAATTGTTAATTACTGCCTAAGTAATTACCACCAAATATTAAAAGTGGGATACCAAAGACCACCAAACGACCACCAAACGATTGAGTATGGCGAATATTGAAAAATTAACATTTGGTCGGCCAAATACATGTTGCCCCACCAAGCTAAGAGTAAGGGCGGGTATCAAGAATCGTAAACTCTACAGGATTGCTCAATCCCATAAGACAAACGTTCATAAAAACATCGAAGATGGCGGTATGCGAATTACGTCACGCAGTCCTTGATCGGTTTGTGTTTTTTATGACAGTGCACTATCCTTGCATTTTCAAACGTGAAAAATTGTTATTTTGAGGTTATTTCCTTTGAAAACTGTATTTTGTAATTAATTTTTTGATTTTAAAATTAGCAGACTTCAAAAGCTTGTGTCCTTGAGGCTTGAGTGGTTGGCTAATTGCTAATTAGAAAGACGAGTTTGTTTGCTTTTGTTTATCAATTAGCCAAACATATTGCCAAAAAGTCAAAAAAACGAAGGGCTGGAGTCAAGCTGGCCCCCGGATTCGTTTCAATGTTTTTTTTGTGTATGAAAATGAGCACAATTCGCATAAATACTGGCACAATTGAGCACAAAACGGGCACAATTGACTACAGTTGAGAAACAGTAGAAAACCAAATGTGGAGTGCCGAGCCGGTTTAATTTTTGCATTTCAATATCAAAATATAAGCGAAACGGGGTTGCAATAGTGTGCTTTATTTTTTACTGACCCTACCTAGGTACTTCTCAATTATTATTCATTAATTTAATAGGTACTAGAAGGATTTAATATGGACATTCAAAGTGAGCTTATTTCACAAAGCCAAATAGTGATACCTAATTTAGATTCTCATAATCATATTCCAGAAAAACACTGCAAGTTTCCCATATTTTCCATGCGTTTTCATAGTAAACGCGCCAGTAAAGGAATTTATTTACATATTTATTTATTCACTCTTCACAAACCCTAATTTTTATTAGTAATTACATGCAAAGGAAACTTACAACTAAGTAGATATTTGATTTATAAAAAAAAAGCAAAACAAATGCTTGACTAGGAAATACTAACTAGCAATACACACAAATAAAAGAGCGATGTCCTGATACAATAAATCCAGTATTATAAAACCAGAAAATGCTTGGGGTTTTCGCGAGTATTTTCAGCCACGAGTCTTTTATGCTTACACACATTGAATGAAACTTTAAATTTACACTTATAACACTAGATAAATCCGAATTTACGATAAAATAGTTGTCAGCACAAACTAAACATCATTCGTATCAGCGGCCATCTTGAAAATCCGGCATGCGCGTGACGTCACAGCAATTGTGAACAAATTTAGCCGATTGAGCAATCCTGTAGAGTTTACGATTCTTGGGCGGGTATTATAAAACTGCTTTGACAGTTGACTTGAAGTTAACGTTTTGAATTGACCTTTTGTTTCGACGCCATATTGCGGTGCGCGAACATATAGTTGCCAAAACAAGAAAACCAAAAATTACTAGCAGGCTGTCAACTAGATATTTTATTATTTCTATTCTGCTCAATACAAGCCACAGCCCTCTACACTTACAAGCCATGAAGTTAAAAAGGCAACACCGCAATCTTACCGCCAAGTGGTGCTGTTTTATTTAACCTCAATTCCGCGTATGGTTTATTTACTTTTATTGATGATATGAATTCTTATCTCAATTACATAAAAAAGTAGTTTTCTTTGAAAAAATATTAGTAGTTAGTAAAATTATTGTAATATTACCAATATTTTGTACATATTAATCACACAAAATGCATCATATTGTACTAAAAAGTAAAAACAGTAATTCAATGAATAATATAAATATTTGTGTAAATAAGAACAGTAAATAATTGATTTAAATAAATATATTACTAGATTCTAAAGTGTTATAATCCTATATCTATTTAGCGGTGTGAAGTTAGCTGACAAATAGTTAGCTGCCAAAGTGCCGATGATTGCCGAACGACCATGGGCGGAGGTCAACAATTTGAATAAATTAAATTAATTTAAAATGTTTTAGCAACAATTGAAAAATACTTGAAATTATACAATCTGAATGTATTTTCAATTAAAATTAACAAATAAATATATTCCAGTAGAATAACAACTAATAGTCCTGTAAAATAACAACAAACTAAAACAAAAATAATATGTAAAAAAAAAAAAAATTGAACATTTATTATTGCTCTATTGCTGCTAAGCTTTCTGCAAATAAGGTCAATCAGAGAGCAGACCTCTTGTCAGCCCTTGGATCCGTTTCAGTCCCCGAATCTTTCTTCTTTAGCCCAGTCTCGGTCGACGAACTGAAACATACTTTTGGAGAGATTGGAGGAAGGAAATCAAGGGGTTGGGATGACATATCGATAAAAATATTCAATAATCTTCCTCATGCTGCCATTGGTGCCCTTGCTGACGCCATACATAACTCCATTGAATTGGGAAACTTTCCCCCTCTTCTAAAAAAGGCCATAGTCATCCCTCTGTTTAAAGGAGGTGATACTGGCTCACCCTCTAGCTACAGGCCCATTTCTTTGTTGCCCACATTGGCAAAGGTTGTGGAAAGGATTGTTAAGGGTCGTATGACTTCATTTTTGGAGAGGCATAATGTTATTTCAGCCTCACAATTCGGATTTCAGTGCACAAAAAATACAGATGATGCCATGTTCCACCTTCTGGATCAACTTTATCTTGGCCTCAATGATCGAGAGTTCGCGTCGGCAGTGTTCTGTGACCTGGCAAAGGCCTTTGACTGTGTCAATCATGGGATTCTGCTGGGCAAGCTTGAGATTTATGGTTTCAGAGGGTCAATTTTGAACTGGTTCAAGTCATACCTATCTGATCGCGTCCAGAGCGTATCTTTCAACAACTACACTTCCACTGAGCTCCGGGTCGAAGCAGGGGTTCCTCAGGGGTCTGTTCTGGGACCCCTTCTGTTTCTTCTTTATGTCAACGACCTCTCTTCTGTGATTGTTAATGGCCAATGTACTTCCTTTGCAGACGACACTACTATCCTATGGCATCATGGTAGTGCTGCTCTGCTCAATGACATGGTGAACACTGACCTATCAAATATCAAAAAATGGTGTGATGCTAATTTGCTTTCATTT